TCTGTGGTATATATCGTTAGTTGCCAGGGTAAGCGCGCACTGCCCCTTGCTGCGCCTACGTGCCTGCACTTCACCGCACCCAGTGCTCATAGAACACACAGCATTCTCCCTCCCTCCTCTCGCCTCCCTCCTCGCTCCGCTTCCCTACCGCCTCCGCCTACCTCCCCTCCTCCCTCCCTTCCCTCCCCACCGCTGTTGTACTGACGCCGTGTGCTGAATGCTATTATGCTGAGCGCGCTTTTGCAGGGTGTACGCGCCCGCTGCTGGCCCCTGCCACGTGCCTGCCAACTTCACGCCGCCTGGCCTCACTCGCGCTCATAGAGCACAGCTTCTCCCTCCCTCCCTCCCTCCCCTCCCTCCCTCCCTCCCTCCCTCCCTCCCTCCCCACCGTGTACTGACGCGTGTGTGTGTATATGTTGTTGCAGGGTAAGGCGCTGCTGCTGCACGTGCTGCACTTCACCGCGCTGCTCATCGAGCACAGCTTCTCGCGGCACCTCTACAACAGCATGGAGCACCTGACGACCCTCCTCGCTTCCAGCGACATGGCCGTCGCTCTCGCAGTCCTCAACCTGCTCTACGTGTTCAGCAAGCGCTCGAACTTCATCACGCGGCTCGCCGCCGATCGCAAGCAGGCGCTGCTCGCTCGCCTGACGCATCTCGCAGAGGTAGGGGGCGCCACCGGCGCGGAGGAGGGAGGCGGGGTGGCGGGGGCCGAGGGTTGGGTGGGCGTGGATGTGTGTTTATGTGTGTATATGTGAATACGTTTGCCGTGTGTTTGCAGAGCTGAGGTGGTGTGCGTGCGTGCGTACGTGTTTATGTATGTACGAATACGTTTGCTGTGTGTTTGCAGAGCTGGTGTGGTGTGCGTGCGTGCGTGCGTGCGTGCGTGCGTGCATGTGTATGTATGAGTACTCTGCTATGTATTTGCAGAGCTGGGGTGGTGTGTGCGTGCGTGCGAGCATGTGTACGTGCGTGCGTGCGTGCGTGTGTGCATGCGTGTGTGTGTATGTATGAGTACTCTGCTATGTATTTGCAGAGCTGGGGTGGTGCGTGCGTGCGTGCATGCGTGCGTGTCTGTGCGTGCGAGCGTGCATGTGCGCGTGCGTGCGTGCATGCGAGCATGTGTGTGCGTGCATGCGAGCATGTGTGTGCGTGCGTGCGTGTGTGCGTGCGTGCGTGCGTGTCTGTGCGTGTGTGCGTGCGTGCGCGTGCATGCGAGTGCGCGCGTGCGTGCGTGCGTGCGTGCATGCGTCTGTGCGTGCGTGCATGCGTGCGTGTCTGTGCGTGTATTCTGCTGTGTATTTGCAGAGCTGGGGTGGTATGTGTGTGTGTNGGTCGGGTTAGATTTTCAGGGGCAGTACGGCGATTGATAGGGGCACCGACGGCAATTGTCGTCGGTGCCTTCGGTTAATTCGAGCCCTGGACGATTGTCACCAGCACCCTTGGTGGTAGAGTTAGTCTGGTGACGTGTCTGACTGGTGCACACACGTCTACTAGCTAAGTTTGTGTATTAAAGTGATTACATCACCGTAAATAATAAGAGTAAAAAAAATATTTCCCTTTTTTCACGAACTGTAAGTAATTCTGTTCACTTTTTATGGTTAAATTGCTGCATTATACTTCCTATTTTACTATATTGTTTGATGCAAACATACATAGCCCATAGCAAGCAATTAATGTCAGGATCATAATATCAAATCGTCCAGGTTTTTTGGATTTTTAACTAGTTGAGAAACAATCTTATCAGGTAAGAATTTGACGATACTTTTAGTCCCGTTAGATCTTACTTTTAATGTAAAAAAATGGCAACAACATTTTTCAAATATACACCATAGAAAATTCGTAACGTAGTCAATTTAAGGGTGTAGGAATGGGTCAGGCAGACAAGGGGTTAGATGAGTGACCGTCTGGCAGGTTGGTTGTAGGTTTTAGGTAGTTTGTTAGGTGATGTGTAAGACGGGTGCACATGTGCTAGTTTGTGTATTAAGCCTAGCGCAGACCTGCGACTTTTTCATGCGACTCGACAGCGATTCTAGAATCGTATAAAAATTGCTGCGAAATTGCTACGTCTGCGGGAACGTGCAACTGCAACTCGTAGCGATTCTGGTCGCTTGCGACGAGTTGCAAGAAATCAAACTGTTTTGATTTTGAGCGACTCGTCGCTTCCAATCGCTCCCAAATTGTTCTGGAATTGCTTCGAAATCGCATGTGTGCGCACACGCGGCGACACAACGACCGATCGCTTGCGGTTGCACGTTGCAGCGACGAGCAACCAGAAATCGCAGGTCTGCGCTATGCTTAAAGTAGAAATGCATATGAAGAAGACGATAATATCACAGTGAAGGTAGAGCGACGTTTCGCGAAGTGGTGGAGCGAAACACGGAACGTCGGAACGAAAGCTCGCCACGAAACAAGAGATCGTCCGCGTTACAACGTGGTCGACGCACCGTCGCCGACGCACGCAAAGACGCGAACGCGTTCTCGTGCGAAACAAGAGAGCGTGCGCGCGTGAGCTTCACGTTGATGTCCGGGCAGTGTTGTTGGCAGAGGGCTATCGTGAACACTGTCGCTTGGCATTCGTTGCGGCAGGAGGCGGAAACAAGAGCAAGCGTTGCGCAGCGTGGACTGGCACGTTGTTTTTGCGTGACGAGTGTTGTTGCAGAGGCTTATGTGATCACTGTCAGCTGGCGTTGCAGATGGTACGCGTTCTTGCGGCTAGGTCGTCGAAACATAGAGAGCGTGCGCGCGGTGACTGTACGTTATTTCGCGTCGTTGTTGCAGAGCTAGTGTGCATCACTGTCAGGTCTTGGCATTCGGAGCATGGAGCGCGTTCTGTGCGGCTCGCGCGAAACCAAGAAGAGGTGCGCGCAGTGACGAGCAGGGTGTTTTCGTGTGTTGTTTTTGGGCAGAGGCTATGTGAACACTGTCAGGCTGCAATTCTTACAGTAGCGGCGAAACAAAGAGAGCGGTGCGCGCGTGAGCTAGCGTTGTTTTCCGCGAGTGTTGTTGTTGGCAGGAGCTGATGTGAACACTGCAGCTGCATTCTTGGCGGCAGCGCGAACAAGAGAGCGTGCGCTGGCGTGACTACGTTGGTTTCGGCGTGTGTTGTTGGCATTAGACGAGGCTATGTGATCACTGTCAGGCTTGCATTCACATGGAGCCGCGTTCTTGGCGGCTGAGGCGGCGACCCGAAGAGAGCGTGCGCGGCGCTGACTACGTTGTTTCGCGTGTTGTTGCAGAGCTATGTGAACACTGTCAGCTGCATTCTTTACAGTAGCAGCGAAAACAAGGACGAGCGTGCGCGATGCGTGACTACAGTTGGTGTTCGGCGTGTTGTTGCAGAGCTGTATGTGTAGCCGCGTGTCAGCTGCATTCACATGGACTGCGTTCTTCGCGGCAGCTGCGAAACAAGAGAGCGTGCGCGCGTGACTACGTTGTTTCGCGTGTTGTTGCAGAGCTATGTGAACACTGTCAGCTGCATTCACATGGACGCGTTCTTGCGGCAGCGCGAAACAAGAGAGCGTGCGCGCGTGACTACGTTGTTTCGCGTGTTGTTGCAGAGCTATGTGATCACTGTCAGCTGCATTCTTGTAGTAGCGCGAAACAAGAGAGCCGTGCGGCGGCGTGACTACGGTTTGTTTGCGCGTGTCGTTTCACAAGTGCTGTGTGATCATGTCAGCTGCATTCCTTGTAGTAGCGCGAAACAAGAGAGCGTGACGCGGCGTGAACTGACGGTTGCTTCGGGTGTTCGTTGTGCAGAGGGCTATGTGAATCACTGTCAGCTGCATTCACATGGACGCTGTGGATCGCATCCTCTCTCTGCCGTCCAGCATCATGGAAGACGCCCTGCTGCAGCGATACAGCGTGCCCGCCGACAAACAGGTGAGCATGCGGAGGGGGCGCCACTGCTGCGGCGTGCCCGCCGACAAACAGGTGAGCATGCGGAGGGGGCGCCACTGCTGGCGGTCGTCCCGCGACAAACAAGGTGACATGCGGAGGGCGCCACTGCTAGCGGCGTGTGCCCCGTGTCGACAAACAGTGAGTCATGCGAGGGGGCCCACTGCTTGCAGCGGCGCTGCCCGCCGACGAAACAGGTGAGCAATCGCGGCAGGGCGCTCTCTGCCGCAGAAATCTTTTCACAGCATCTAGCTCTGGACGCAGTGCGTGCCCGCAGCGCGACCAAAATCTATGCAGTATCGAAGTACCATTGAATCAGAGAGGATGGCGCGTGCGGCCACTGCCGCCAGCTATCACACAATGAATCTAGAGTGAGGTCTACCTCAACGTGGCAAGACAGTGGACGGATGGCAGCTTTTCAGTTCGGCCCTCATATACAGGAGCAATGAAACATGCTAGTGTTGAGCCATCGCTCGAGGGGTGCCGGGCCTTGACTTGCCTTAGCTTCCCAGCACTGAAATAAAATACTTCTCCTTTACAGACGTGTAGGCACTTAAATAAGCCGGAGCGGGTGTCGCGAACATGTGCCCGGGACGCTGGCAAATCAGGAGTATGCAAATGTCTATTCGTCTAACCGAGTACGCGATCAGAAGCGGGAGACCGGCGGGACGCCCACAATCTTGTCAGAACAACACGCACTGCTGTACTGGCTGTGAGCAGATCTGCAACAACAGGTTGCAGCATGCGGAGGGGGCGCCACTGGGCGCGGCGTGCCCGGCCGACAAAGCAGGTTTTTTGAGCTATGCTCACTGTAGGAACAAGGGACCACGGGCCAACTAATCGCCACTGCCCGTTAGAGAGCCGAGAAGGCGGGCCGTTTTGGGCACCGCAGGCCGGCCAGCGCGTCTGCACAAAGAGCTTGAAATGATAGCCCAGGGGTGGAGCCAAGTGTTTTTGCAAGCCAGACACGGAGGTGCGGACTTAACTTGATCGTGTACGTTTTCAGCTTTGCTACCGCGGCGTTGCCACCACACCGCTCGGATCTGAATTGTGAGGCAGAGTTTCCACTCAGAGTGCACGCAGTAGAGCCAGGAGGGGGCGGCCACTGCTGCGGCGTGCCCCGGGCCGAGCAAACAGGTGAGCGGCATGCAGAGGGTGCCACCTGCTGCCACCTTGCCGGATTAATTGTGCCGGTTCGGCACGTAGAGCACGCCGTCGTCCCGGATTAAGTTGTGGGGCGCCGGGTCTTTAGCCATACCAAACAGACAGTGAGCATGCGGAGGGGGCGCCGACTGCTCGGCGGCGGTGTCCGGATTAAATTGTGGCTGCTAGTTTTCCGTGGCATTGATTACGCGTCGTTGGACTGCACCTTGGATCAATTGGCTGGCAGGAAGAGAGGCTCGGGCTGTTTGACGCCTGCTTAGGCTTCCGTTCAAGGCTTTTCTACTTTGCTTAGATACGGTCACGTCCTGAAGCAGAGAGGCTGCTCGAATGGGTGGCAGTGCTGTTGCTGCTGCTGCTGGACACACTCGAAGTAGTGTCGCAGTCTCTGCGTCTTCTAGATCTAAGAGTTATAGGCTGCAGATTGTTCCCGATCAGAGACTCGATATCCTCTCTTAGACTACCACATCGTAGCTACACGGGTACTTTCTCTCTTGTCGACGCCTGTAAGATCGTGGGTTCAGCCTGCAAGCTGTGCTCGAAAGGGTTTAGGAATCGATAATGACACTCATTTTCATTGGGACTGTTATAAATGTGCGGTGATTTTCACTATGTGAGATCTTCAATATAAAACAACGAATACTGTCAATAGGAATGCTGTCTATCTCTGCAACAGTTTGGATGCCAGGAAATATTGAAAGTCTAACGAATACCTGAGCTGTTCCGCACAGCACAGGAAATACTGCTTTTAGATGTCAATGCTGCTGCTGTCTGCATCTACGGAGTTATGAACACTTGCGTTGTTGACGAACTCTCTCGTCACGGGATACTTGAATAGATATACTGGTCTTATGGGTGTAAGTTGCTAGTAAATTCTGGATCGTATACTAAATGGACGAAAATTTCGTGTCTAGGATGTAATTAATGATGGGTTGTGAATTTTTCAAATCATAAATTATGTAGATTCGCTATGACTGAGTGATATCAAACGGTAGTTTCGCTCTAAGATATGTTGACATGATGTATGGCGTTGTCAATGTTGGTAATGCTATAGATAATTTGAACTCTCGGTCACTTACGATGTGCACTCTTAACAGGGTACGAATTAACTTTTTGAACAAGGGAGTCCCACAGAGTACCTCTCCGCCTCACCGCGGCCTCGCGCCACGTCATTCTCAAAACTTTGGAGAAGAGGCTCACCAGTAGCGCTGAAGAGGTGAGGTGCACCGCGGCATCCAGGCGGCAGTCCCATCGCGTGGCTGGTGAAGTGATGCAGGAAGCAGGAGAGAGGGAGGAGGGAGGAGAGAGAGAGGACAAGATAGGAGGAGATCCGGGGAAAGATGTATGAAGGTTCGAAGAGAGAGAAGTATGAAAGAAGAGAATAGTTAGAGTGAGAACAGAGATGACGAGAGAATAGAGGGTGATGCGCCTTGCAGTGGTAGAATGGTCAGTTTGCAAGGATTCCAGTCCGATCTGCCTTGCGCTCGGTTGGCAGTGATGGTGATAGGGGTAGAGGTAGGACGAAGACGAAAAGGAAGAGAGGTGAGAGGTACGATGAGTGGGAGCGAGGAGAGCAAGGAGGGGAGAGAGGGAGAGAGAAGAAGAGAGGGGAGCGATGAGAGCGAGGAGGGGGAGAGAGAGAGAGCGCGGAGGGGGAGAAGAGAGAGAGCGGAGGAGGGGAGAGAGGAGGGAGAGAGAGGAGGGGGGAGCCAGAGAGCGAGGGAGGGAGAGAGGGAGAGGGAGAGGGGGAGAAGGAGTGAGAGAGAGAGAGAGAGAGAGAGAGAGAGAGAGAGAGAGAGAGAGAGCGAGAGGAGAGAGAGAGAGAGAGCAGAGAGAGAGAGAGAGAGAGAGAGAGAGAGAGGAGAGAGAGAGAGAGCGAGAGCGAGAGCCGAGAGAGAGAGAGAGAGAGAGAGGGGCGATGAGAGAGAAGAGAGATAGAAGAGAGAGTATTATGAGAGAGAAGCGGAGAGAGCGAGAGAGGCGATGAGAAGCGAGAGAGAGGGAGGGAGAGGAGAGAGAGAGAGAGAGAGAGAGCGAGAGCGAGAGCGAGAGAGAGATCGAGATCGAGATCGAGAGAGAGAGAGAGAAAGATATGAGGTCTACTCTATTAGTTAAATTGCGTTCGCACGTTGTTCGTCAATTATTGACGCTGCGACGTGGCTCGTCCCGCGGCGTAGTAAAGCGCCGTGACTAATTAACACAGTCGTTAATTAGCGGCACTAACGAAGTGATTGCCCGTCACATCACTGCATGGGTCGCCGCCGTGATGCTGCTAGGAACGATGCGTTGCTAGTAAGACTAGGTTGAATTTCTCGAGAAACGTGGATAAATGAACGGAAGAAAAATGGGTCGATTTACCCAGGAAGTCGATGAATATATTTACTTATTAGGGGGAAAAATCGATAAAGCTATTGAGGGATTTTACTAAGAAAAAATGGATGAAATTATTTAGGTAAAAGGATAGTTTTACTAAGGAAAAATTTGGTGTTGTTATTGAAAATGCCTATTGAAGGACGAAGGTAAATGTACTAAGAGAGACACAATGAATTTACTGATAAAAATGAATAAAATCTATAAGAAAAGGAGTTGAGAGTTAAATTATTGCCGTACGATAGAATAACTTGCTCGGACAAGATTCTACGACATCGTCTCATTAATTAATCATCGTTGACGCTCGTCAATCGTGTTAAATTTGTCAAATTAATGAAGTAATTAGTCAAATTAGTCGATTAATTACTCATCGACGATTAAGACTCGTTAGCGTTCCTCGTTGATCTTCGTCGCGCGCGCTCCCGCACCGTCGTCGTTTCCGCGTCCGTCCCCCGCACCGTGGTGCCACCTGACGACGGGCGTTCTCTTGTTCTCGCAGTCTATTCGAACGCGCTTCAGGACAACCTCAACTCCGTGCTGTACAATGGCTTCATCGAGGAGCTGGTGGACGTGTTGGGACTGCGGGATGCTGCGCTGATGGAGATTCGCGCAGCTTCCCTGCGCACGCTCACCTCCATCATACACCTCGACCGCAACCCCAAGTACGTGCGCGCGCGCGCGTGAGGGGGTGGGGTGTGGGTGTGTGTGGGAGTGGGGGTGTTATATGTTAGTTGTTAGGTGTGGGTGTGGATGTAGATGTAGATGTAGGTGTAGGTGTAGGTGTAGGTGTATGTGTAGGTGTAGGTGTAGGTGTAGGTGTAGGTGTAGGTGTAGGTGTAGGTGTAGGTGTAGGTGTAGGTGATAGGTGTAGTATGTATGAGTGTAGGTGTAGGTGTAGGTGTATGTGTATGTGTATGTGTTATGTGTATGTGTAGGTGTTGATGTAGATGTAGATGTAGATGTAGGTGTATATGTATATGTATATGTATATCGTAGGTGTAGGTGTAGGTGTAGGTGTAGGTGTAGGTGTAGGTGTATCTGGTAGGTGGGATGTAGATGTAGATGTAGATGTAGTTGTATGGTGTAGATGTTATATGTAGGTGTAAGATGTATGGTGTATAATGTAGGTGTACGATGTAGGTGTAATGTAGATGTAGAATGTAAGATGTAGATGTAGATGTAGATGTAGAATGTAGATGTAGATGTAGATGTTGATGTAGATGTAGATGTAGATGTAGATGTAGATGTAGGTGTAGGTGTAGGTGTATGTGTAGTGTGTAGGTGTTGAATGTAGATGTAGATGTAGATGTAGGTGTATATAGTAGGTGTAAGGTGTAGGTGGTATGGTGTAGGGTAGATGTAGGTGTGGATGGTAGATGTAGAGTGTAGATGTAGATGTCGATGTATGATTGTTAGATGTGATGTATTATGTAGGTGTCAGATGTAGATGTAGGTGTTATGTAGGGTAGATGTAGATGCTAGATGTAGCATGTGGATGTTGACTGTAGATGTAGATGTAGATGTAGGAGTGTAGAGTGTAGAGTGTAGGTGTAGTGTATGATGTTAGATGTGGATGTTGATGTAGATGTCGATGGTAGATGTAGATGTAGATGTCGATGTTAATTGTAGATGTAGATGTAGATGTAGGTGTAGATGTAGGTGTAGGTGTAGGTGTCGGTGTATGTGTTATGTGTATGTGTATGTGTCAGATGTAGCATTTCGGTGTAGTAGATGTAGAATTTAGGTGTAATGTGTATGATGTAGGTGTAGATGTATATGTAGATGTAGCTGTAGTATGTAGATGTAGATGTAGATGTTAGATGTAGATGTAGATGTAAGATTGTAGATGTAGATGAGGATGTAGATTGTTTTAGATGTAGGTGGTGATGTAGATGTAGATGAGATGTAGTTGTAAGATGTAGTATGTAGATGTAGATGTAGATGAGTTGTAGATGTAGATGTAGGCTTGTAGATTGGTAGATGTAGATGTAGATGTAGACGTCGTGTAGATGGTAGATGGTAGATGTTAGATGCAGATGCAGATGTAGATGCAGGATGCAGATGCAGATGTCGGTGTAGATGTAGCTGTAGATGTAGATGTAGATGCAGATGCAGATGGTAGGATGTAGATGTAGATGTAGCGTGTCAGGGTTTCTTGTTAACGCTTTTGACAAAGGCAGGTAATTTGACAATGAATAGCAGGTATAACTGTTTTTTCCCGGCACGGACGGGTAGGGCGAGCGGCGAAGGCGCGAATAAATTTCCTGATTTGACGCCACCAATAGCCTATTTTGATGGGTATGGGTTCTAGAATTTTGGTAGTTTAGATATTAGGTTTTTGCTATTAAAGCCGACAATGCGCATCCCCCAAAACGCTAATTTCTTCAGTACTAGACTATGGCACATACTTCGTGTCATCATAATCATATCTACTTATGGCAAAATAAACTCTAGTTCCTCGCCAATTTGGACTGCGCGTTCCGCAACAAGAAAGAGGTTGCGAAATCAGGTAATCGAGGGCCAACGCTAAATTGTTCAAATCAACATAACAATCGAAGTGGTGAGCGTGACGTGCACTATGTTTTTATCTTTGTTGCGCCCGTAGACCGGCTGTAAGCCGCGGCACCGCTGTGGCACGGTTGCCTTGGAGATTGGGGAACTGGTCACAACAATCGAGGTCTTTCCAAAATACCTTTTATATAGACAACCGCGGGCAGTTGAAATGGTGGAGGAACTTAGAGTTTATTTTGCATAAGGTAGTATGATTATGCATGACACGAAGTATTTGCTAGTCTAATACCGAAGAAATTAGCGTTTGGATGCGCATTGTGCGTGCTTTAAGTATCTAGTATAAAAAGAAAATCATACAATGTCAAGTAAAAGTCCAGGTAAGCACGTGTATTTCCGATCTTTATTTTATGTAGTATCTGCCGAAGTTGTAGAATTCAATTATCACTGCATTTTTATAATTCTGAGTCCACATTATAATATAATGAAACTTCCGCTGATGTCTGTGTGTCCGCTACGAGGGTATAACAAACTTGCCCGGCGGACAGTCCGCCCGTGCACAGAGTTAGTCTTGGGTTGGAAGTATTTTAAAATAAACTTCGTTTTCAAATATTGGATTTAAAAATATTTTACCGCCTTTAGTGGGAGTTTTCTCTCGAAATTGATAAGGCCGCTAACAATATTGGGATAGGCGGTAAAATGAACCGGTTACGGCTATTAACAAGAACCTGAGGTGTAAGGTGTAGGCTAGACGTAGGCGTAGGTGTAGCAGGGTAAAAAATACACGGAGCGATGAGCCTCTGAAATCGCTCCTGTGAGGCCTCAAAATCCCTAGATGTGACAAAGAAAGAGCTTCCATGAAAAAAAGGAATTCTTTCCCTGGTGTCGGTGTATGGTATAGGTGTAAGGTATAGATGTAGGTGTAAGTATGCATATTAGCAGTCATAACTCGCTAGTATAAAGTAGGCACTCACCATATACGCTTGCCCACGCGTGCATTCCGCTTGTTGTTGTTGGTGTAAGGTGGAGTGTAAGGTTGTAGGTGTGTGTGTTAGATTTTGTAGTGTGTGTGTGTGGGTGTGAGGTGTAGATGTAGGCGTAGTGTAGGTGTGTGTTTAGCAAACGTACACTCGCTCGTAAAGCTTGCCCACGCCGGCATTTGCGTCGTTGTTGTTGTTGTTGTTATTGTTGTTGTTGTTATGTTGTTGTTGTGTCGTCGTTGTGTGTTGTTTATTGTTATTATTCGTTGTTGGTTGTTGTTCGTTGTGTTGTTGTTGTTGTTGTTGTTGTCATTGTCATTGTTGTTGTTGTTGTAGGTATGAACACGAATCATCGATGCTACGTGGCCCCGCGTCGTCCTACCACGGCTTTCCTGCCCGACGCTGCGGTCGCGCGAGGCTGGCATTCCACACATGACTGTGGGCCGGGGATTGACCCCCCCTTTCCCTCAGCCGTTCCGTCACCGCTCCGTTCTTCCTTCCTTCTCCTCTACCACCTCGGGCAAGCTACGTAGAGCGTGAGTGCCTAGGGAGAGGGACGGGGGAGGGGGGGAAATGCGGGCGATGCATGAGGGGTAACCTGTAAGCGGGCAGGGCTAAAAAATACACGGGAGGCGATGAGGCCGATTCCGGCTGCCTTTAATACTTCCGGAAATCGCTCCGCGGCGACGGCTGCACAATATAGCTTCCCGAAAATGATCCCCACTGGTAGGGGTAGCAAAGCAGCAGCATTGTGGATCGAGGCACTGGAATTAATAAGGATAATGAGGATAACTATATACTACTGTAGGCGACTTATAACTGGCACTATAAGTTATGCTTTGACTGCTGTCTATTCTTCCTGTACCCATAATAGTAAATTACTCAGAGAACTAGATTACAGGCAAAATAATAATAATAATAATAATAATAATAATAATAATAACCGGTGTTTAATCACCGGCTAATGCCGTGATCCACTTTAGAAATAATAATAATAGTAGTAATAAAAATAATAATAATAATGATAGTAATAATAATAATAATAGTAATGATAATATTGCTAATTCAGCCTCAGATCACGCGCGTCTCGTGCATGTCTCATGTCTTATGTCTCGTGTCTCGTATCTCATGTCTCATGTCTCGTGTCTCATGTCCTCATTCTCGTGTCTGGCGTATGTCTCATGTCTCGTGTCTCATGCCTCGTTCTCATGTCTCATGTCTCGTGTCTCGTGCCTCATGTCTCATGCCTCGTGTCTTGTGTCTTATGCCTCGTGTCTCATGTCTTATGTCTCGTGTCTCGTGTCTCATGTCTCCTGTGTCTCGCAGGCGGCGAAGGCGGCTGGCTCATGAATGGCGAACGATGCCTTCGTGTCTCGTGTCTCATGGCCTCGTGTCTCGTTGTGCCTCGTTGTTCATGGTCTCGTGCCTCGTGTTGTCCTCGCAGGCAGGCGGGCGCTGCGTCTCGTGCGGCATGATGGAGTCGCTGCTGAAGGTGATCAACTGGTATGGAGATGACTCGGACCACATCACGTTCATGACGCGGGCCGTGCGAGTCATCGACCTCACACCAACCTAGACATGGATGCAGAGCTTCGCAGTCTCACGCGGCGGCGCTGGCAGTGTTTCATGCAACCGCGCTAGAACACGGAGGTGGGTGGGAGGGCAGGAGGGGGAGGAGGGGGAGGGGGTGGGGCCGGAGGGGGTGTGACCTCCAACCACCAAGCCTAGAGCATGGCAGAGCTTTCCAGTCTCACACGGCGGCCTGGCAGTTGTTTTTATCAGCCGCCTAGCACACGAGGTGGGTGGGTGGAGGAAAGGGAGGCGGCGAGGGTGGGGAGGAGGAGGGGGAGGGGGTGTGACCTCAAACAACGGAACCTAGACATCAAGGAGCTCCAGTCTCACGGTGCGGCCTGCAGTGTTTCATCAAACCGCCTAGAACACGAGGTGGGTGGAGGGGGAGGAGGGTGGGGAGTGGTGGGGGAGGGGGGAGGCGGTGTGACGCTCAAGCACGAACCTAGAGCATGCAGAGCTTCCAGTCTCCAGGCAGCGGGCCTGCAGTGTTTCATCAATCCGCCTAGAAGCACCGAGGTGGGGTGGGCCGGGGAGGAGGGCTGGGGGGAGGGGATGGGGGAGGAGGGGGAGGGGAGGGGGAGGAGGGGGAGGGGGGGTGTGACCTCAACACAAACCTAGACATGGATGCAGAGGCTTGCCCAGTCTGGACGGCGGCCTGCAGTGTTTTCATCAACCGCCTAGAACACGATGGTGGGTGGGAGGAGGTGGTGGGGTGGTGGCTGGGGGAGGGGGAGGAGGAGGGGGGAGGGGAGGGGGAGGGGGTGACCTCAACACGAACTAGGACATTGCCAGAGCTTCCAGTCCACGGCGGCCGTGCAGTGTTTCATCAAGCCAGCCTCGGAACACGAGGTGGCGTGGGAGGAGGTGGTGGTGGTGGAGGGGGGAGGTTAGGAGGGGGAGGGGATCAGGGGGAGGGGGTGTGACCTCAACACGAACCTAGTACATGCAGAGGCTTCGCAGTCTCACGGGCGGCGCTGCAGTGTTTCATCACCACCTAGAACACGCAGGTGGGTGGGTGGAGGAGGAGGGTGGGGAGGGGTAGGGGGTAGGGTGGGGGAGGGGGAGGGGTGTGACCTCACACGAACGCTAGACATGCGAGCTTACGCAGTCCTCACGGCGGCCTGCAGTGTTCACATCAACACACTAGAAGCACGAGGGTGGGTGGGTGGAGGAGGTAGGGTTGGGGAGGGGTAGGGGGAGGTTGGGGGAGGGGGGAGGGGGTGTGACCTCAACCCGAAACCTAGACATGGCAGAATGCTTTCCAGTCTCAACGGCGGCCTGCATGTTTCATCAAAACGCCTAGAACCACGAGGTGGGTGGGAGGAGTGGTGGGTGGTGCGGGGGGGAGGAGGAGGGGGAGGGGAGGGGGAGGGGGTGTGACCTGCACACCAGAACCTAGACATGCAGAGCTTAGTCTGCACGCCGCATCACGGCGCTCTGCAGTTGTTTCATCAACGGCGCCTAGAAGCACGTAGTGGGTGTGGAGGAGGTGGTGGGTGGTGGAGGGAGGAGGAGCGGGGAATGGGGGAGGGGGTGTGACTCAACAACGGAACCTAGACATGCAGAGCTTCCAGTCTCACGCGGCTGCGGCAAGTGTTCATCAAACCTGCCTAGAACACAGGTGGGTGGGTGGAGGAGTGGTGGGGGTAGGGGAGGAGAGGGGGGGTGGGAGCGCGGAGGTGGACGCCTGCCACACA